ACATGGTGCAGCAGACCTCTCCTGTCTCACCCGCTGCTCCCCTCAGCAGTGTTTTCAGTCTGTCTGCCTGTTCTCCCCTCTCTGTCTCTGGTGAACCCTTTCACCTTCCCACGCTTCTGGCCTATACCCCAGTTCTTGCAAAAATAAATAAATTTTTTAAAAAAATACATGAAGACTGCATTCATACCAAGTCTCTCCTAAGATGATAAAGATATCAAACTAGAAATAAACCATGAAAAGAAAGCAAGGAGATTGCCCACTACATGGAGACTGAACAACATGCTGCTGAAAAATCTGTAGGTTAATGAGGAAATCAAAGAAAAAAATTGAGTTTGGTTGACTGAGGTGATGGGGTTGGGGGAAAAACAAACATGAAGGGCCACTCTCAGCACAGCATCCTCTAGAGTCACCTTGCACCTGATCCTCACTGATGATGTCACCTTCCCTACTGTAGGGTAAATGGTTTTCAGGCTTTTCTGCCCTCCCACCATTAGGGTTGCCCTGCCTGATTGGGCACCTACAGTTGTTACATTGTTGCAAAATATCTTATTTACTTCTGTGTGCCATGGGAGGGGTATGGAGATAGTCACCAGAGAAGCAGAAGCAAGAGAAGAAGCAAGAGAGAGAGGAGGAGAGAAAGAGGCCAGAGAAGCCCAGAGTGAAGCCTTGCCTGGGGATTGGAGGCCTACCGGTCTCCTGGCTCCCGGGCACCCCTACATGCCGTGTACCTGGTTGCTGCTCTATATGTAACAACTCAGTAAAAGCCTGAGAAATCCACTGAGGGCTCCAAGACTCTCCTTTACCCATCTGCTGGATCAGAAAACCTGTTCGGTGCCCATCTTGCCCCTACACCCCCCTGGCTGAGGACGGGTCTCCACTTCCTCCCTGAGAAGTTCTTTCTTTCCTGTGTCCCTTTCCACACAGCAGCCATTGGAAGGCGTCACCATGTGGAGCCCACACTTAAAGGCTGCTCTGCTATAAACATTTCTGTACAGGTTTTGTGTGAACAAGTCTTCAAGTGAGTTGGGTAAATAATCAGGGGAGTGATAAGCAGGTTTTAGGGTAACTCTGTGTTTCACTTAATGAGAATGAGTTATTATTTTTTCCATAGTGACTGTATTATTTTGTATTTCCTCCAGCAGTGAATGGGGGTCCCTGTTGCTCCCCATCCTGATCAGCACCTGGTGCCTAGTGTCACCCCTTTTCTGAGGTTTCACTTTCCAAGGCTTCAGTTTCCCGAAATTAAACTAGGTTAAATTTTTTTTCATAAGATATTTAGAGAGAGATAACAGTTACACAACTTTTATTACAGTACATTGTTGTGATTGATTGTCCTGTTTTAAAGTTATTATTCACACAGTGCCTAATTTATAAAGTAAATGTATCATATGTATGTATGTGCAGGGAAATCTTCATATACAGAGCGCTCCATACTATTCGCGGTTCTGGTATCCACTGGGGGTCTTGGAATACATCCCATGTGGATAAAGGGGGGCTGCTGTACTAGGATTGGATTTAGGCCATATAATAGGTGTGCATTGCTTGTCCATGTTGCTTTAATTTGCACTTGCATTTACATATGTCAGCATATGATGTTGAGTTTCTGTTCATATGCCTAGTTGCCATCAATGTAGTCCTTGGAAACTGTTCAGAGTTTTGCTCAGTTTTAGAAAGTTATTTGTTCCTTGTTGAATTTTAAGGGTTACATGCATATTCTAAAACATGTATTATTTTAGTCATATTTTGCAAATATATTCTTCTTGTCTGTGGTCCAAACTCTTTACAGACCTAACACATCAATGCATACATAGACTTTTCTGGGGAGAAAATGAGAAGTTGCTGACTATAGTGGATTCAGAGTAGAGGCGACTTGGTTGACTGAGAATGATGTGACTTACGTATTTGTGTATGTTCTTGAGTATTTATGAATCATCTGTGTGATCGTGAATAGCAAATATTAGTTATTATGAAAATCATTTATTATAAAAAATAAATTACACAATACCTGACACTTATCAAACACTTGGCACTTCCTCCTCAATCACATGTTCTCAGGCTCTGACCTTCTACTCTAGAACCCGTCATCTTGTCACTGAATGATTTTGCCTTAGAATTTCCACCTGACAAAGGTGGGCTGGATGGATGGACACCTTCCCACTGAAAAGAGCTAAAAATGTGAGATACATATAAGATACAAAACCACCTTCTTAAAAGCATTAGAACTGGGCCTCCCCTGGTGGCCCAGGAGGTTGAGCACCGCTGCTGTGAATCTGTCTGCAGCCTCTGTAGCGCCGGTTCCATCCAGCTGGCCAGCGAGGGTCCCACATGGACTGCAGACCTCTCCTGTCTCGCCCGCTGCTCCCCTCAGTAGTGTATTTCGTCAGTCTGCCTGTTCTGTTCCCCGCTCTGTCTCTGGTAAATCCTCTCACCCTCCTGCACATCTGGCCTGTACCCCGGTTCTTGTATAAATAAATCTTTTTTTTTAAAAAAGGCATTAGAGGGCCTCCCTGGTGGCGCAGCGGTTGAGCGCTGGGTTGCGAAGCTGCCAGCGGCCTCTGCGGCGCCGGTTCGATCCCCGGCTGCTCCCCGGCCACCAGAGGAGGGTCCCATATGGCGCGCAGACCTCTCCTGCTGCCCGCTGCTCCCCTCAGCAGTGTACTTCGGTCCTTCTGCCTGCTCTGCTCCCCACTCTGGCTCTGGTGAATTCTCTCACCCTCCTGCGCTTCTGACTCTACCCAGTGCATGTATAAACAAAAACAAACAAATAAAAAAAAAAAAGGCATTAGAACTGACAATATAGTAAGGAATGCCCACACCCAGTAAAGAAGGGGGGAGACCCTATGTGGGCACCACAGAGAACAGCATCTTGAGGAGGGAGGAAGGGCTGTGATGGCCCTGTCCAGAGCAGACACGGAGCCCAGCCCTTCAGCTCTGCGCTGAGCCTGACGACCACGTCCCTTTCAAAATTTAGGAAGACCTGCTTTATTTTGGTTAGGATGTGTGTGTGTGTGTGTGTGTGTGTGTGTACGTATACACACATACATACGGTACACTTCTTAGGATATAAACTGTATTCACTATCAAAATAAAAATGTTGGGCCTCCCCTTGGCACAGCCAGTTGAGCACAGTGCTGTGAAGCTGTCCTGAGCCTCTGCAGCGCAGGTTTGATTTCCGGTTGGCCAGGGAGACACCCACATGGCGCAGCAGACCTCTCCTGGCTTGCCCGCTGCTCCCCTCAGCAGTGTATTTCAGTCAGTCTGCCTGTTCTGCTCCCTGCTTTGTCTCTGGTGAATCCTCTCACCCTCCCGCACACCCCAGTTCTTGTATGCACAAATCAATCTTTAAAAAATAAATAAATAAAAATGTTACAAACAAAGCATTTTCAAGCCAGGAGGGAGTAAAAAACACTGTCAGCTGTTGTTAACAATGCGAAATAGAAAAGCATTGAAATGAGGCCTCAAGTTTGGTGATGACCTCTCATTGTCAACCTTCCACAGGCAAGTCCAGCACCTGAGCCGAGAGGAGAAGGGCTGCCTAGGAGGGAGCAGGAAGGAGGGAGCAGGACATGGAAAGAGACCACCCTGTCCAGTATGAAGGGCTGCGGGGTCCTAGCCAGGGAGGCTCAGGAAAGCAGAAAGCATCTCCTCAAGCCTGACAGAAAGAATGTGGACACAAAGTAAACCCAGTTTCTGATGACATAGAGCACATATCAGTCACTTCTGCCACAATCCAAAGTACTATGTGCCAAGGAAACTAATTTGTATAAGGAGAATTAGACCTTTTGGAAGGGGGGTACTACCAACTTTACTTGAAGGGGTGAATGACAAAACACTGTCATTATTTAGATTTGGTTAATCTGTACACACTTTCTAGAAAGTGAATGTGAGCTGTCCCTTTAAGAAAATCAACTGACAGTTGACAACTGATAGTAATTAACTGCCTTGATAAAGTACAAGCTCCAAGTGAAAACCAGATAGTGGAAAATTGTGTCCCATCACTATAAACTTGACAACTTCCAGTAGCCACTTACTTCTCCTTGGGGATTTTTGGAACATGAAACATGTTTGATTTTCAAAATTTGATTCTCGAATAATTAACATAAAGATCATATAACCTGATAAGACAATGCATCACTTTTTAACGTCATGTATTAGTACAAGATTAATAATCAATAGAGGCCTATGGAATTAATATAACAGAAAACATTCAATGATACTGTTCTACCACTCACTTTGCAAATAACAGTTGAAAAACCACCACATGTATAGTTTCAATTTACTGCAGAGGTGGAACAAAGTTAAATAGTCACAATTATGTGAAAAGTACTTAAAATGCTATTTTCACATATTTCAGAGAGGCTGTATAGTTTTTCATTGACCGACCAAAACAAAGAGTAAATGCAGGAGAAATTATGACAATCCAACATGCCTCCAGTGAGACAGAGAAGGAAAATAATTGCAAAAATGTAAGCTGTAAAAGATCCACGCATGACCCTGATTATTTTCATTAAATATCTACATTTCTTTAAGACACTTTGAACACACATTGGGTTATTAATATTATTTTAAATTAAATGGAAATATCTTTAAATTGTTTTTATTCGTCATGTAGTACATACTGAGAGCTATAACCTCCTAAACTTATACCGGGGTCCTGGCTAATTTTAAAACTGCAGAGATCTTGAAACAAAAAAGCTTGAAAATCGCTGCCCCAGTCCCTGGCCAGGACTCAGGGAGGCAACAGTGTGACAAAGGCCTTGGAGCAGGAGAGGAGGGGGCGGCAAAGTCCCAGGTATCTGGTGTGGTTCTCAGGGTCTCAGCCCTATGGGCTGTGCTTGGGGTAGGGAAGGCTTTGGGAAGGTTACTGTTGGGGATTCTTCACCTCCCCACCATTTCATGTCTCCCACAACAGGTGTCAAGTCCTTTGAATACTGGTGACTCACCCCCAGTTCTCACTCCCCATTGCCTGGAGGTCTCCAAAGACTCCAACCAGCATCACAGCTGCCACCAGTGTGGACTCAGAGTCTCCCCAGACCTCAAGAGCACCCGTCATGAGGCCCCCAACCCTCCTGCTGCTGCTCTCAGGGGCCCTGGTCCTGACAGAGACCTGGGCAGGTGAGTGCGAGCTCTGGAGAGAAAAGGCCACTGAGGAGGAGGGGCAAGAACCCAGGAAAGACTCCACTCCCCCACTGCTGACCCTGTTGTCCCCCTTGACCCCACCCTGCCCTGACCCCTTTCTGTCCCTCTCAGCCTCCAGCCTTCTCATCCGCTGCCCCTTTTCAATCTCAGGAGCCCCCTCACCTCCTCCCCTCCAGCCCCGTCTCCCCCGGACCGCGCAGGGAGGAGGCTCAGCCAATGTCACCCCTCCCGCCCCCAGGCTCCCACTCCCTGAGGTATTTCTACACCGCGATGTCCGGGCCCGGCCCCGGGGAGCCCCGCTTCATCGCCGTGGGCTCCGTGGACGACACGCAGTTCGTGCGGTTCGACAGCGACGCGGCGGGGCCGAGGATGGAGCCGCGGGCGCCCTGGATGGAGCAGGAGGGGCCTGAGTACTGGGAGGGGGAGACGCGGATCTTAAAGGCCACCGCACAGACGTTCCGAGTGAACCTGCGCGCCCTGCGCGGCTACTACAACCAGAGCGCGGCCGGTGAGCGGGGCGGGCTCGGGGCGCTCACGACCCCACCCCCGCGGGCGGGCGGGGACCCCAGACCCCGGGCCCGAGCGTCCCCCGAGGCAGGGGGACCCGCCGGACCCTCGACCCGGGACGAGCCCCGGGACGTTCCCCGCGAGGTTCCCGCGTCAGTTTCGGGTTATTCTCGGCGGGGGCGGGCGGGGTGACCGCGGGGTGACCTCGGGGTGACGCGGGGTGACGGGGCGGGGACAGGCTCTCACACCCTCCAGGAGATGTACGGCTGCGACGTGGGGCCCGACGGGCGCCTCCTCCGCGGGTACAGTCAGTTCGCCTACGATGGCGCCGATTACCTGGCCCTGAACGGGGACCTGCGCTCCTGGACCGCGGCGGACACGGTCGCTCAGATCTCCCGGCGCAAGTTGGAGGCGGCCGGAGCAGCAGAGCGCTTCAGGAACTACCTGGAGGACAAGTGCAGGGAGTCGCTGCGCAGGTACCTGGAGCACGGGAAGGAGACGCTGCAGCGCTCAGGTAAGAGGGGCCGCGAGGCCTCCCACCCCCCTCAGGCCGGCACCGCGGGGAGGGTGGAGTCAGGGTCACAGCAGCGCCCCCTCTCTGGTCAGGGGAGGAGGAGCCCCCGGGTTTCCTGACTCCCCAGAGGACCCCACTTTTCCTCAGAAGTTTTCCTCTGAGCCTGAGGGGAGACCAGCCCTGACATCGCCCTTCGTCTGATCCTTTTGACCAGCAGCCCTCTTGGGAACCATCAGTTTTTCTCTCAGGTCTTGTTATTGGTCTGAGGACATTTTTCTGATCTGACTCTGCTTTTGTGAGTCCCCAGGTCAGGAGCAAAAGTCTGTGCTCTCCTCCTTAGAGAACTGCGTCCTCCTATCCAGAGTTGTCACCTAATTCTAGAACTTTCTAAGGAACAAGAGATTATCCCAGACTCCCCAGACCAGGCTGGTTTCTAGATTTTGTGCTTCCTCTTTCCAAACCCACTGCCCTGTCCATTCTGAGGATGGTCACAGGAGGGTTTTTCAGGGTCTATGAGAGAAAAACCCAGAGTGTGTAAGTTCTCACCCTTCTCCTCAGAGGCCCCAAAGACACAGGTGACCCGCCTCCCCACCTCTGACCAGAAGGTCACCCTGAGGTGCTGGGCCCTGGGCTTCTACCCTGCGGACATCACCCTGACTTGGCAGCGAGATGGGAAAGACCTGACCCAGGACTTGGAGCTGGTGGAGACCAGGCCTGGGGGGGATGGAAACTTCCAGAAGTGGGTGTCTGTGGAGGTACCTTCTGGAGAGGAGCAGAGATACACGTGCCATGTGCAGCATGAGGGACTGCTGGAGCCCCGATTCCTGACTTGGGGTAAGGAGGGGGATGTGGGCACAGAGCTTCTCAGGGGCATCAAGAATCCTTCTGGAGACCTTCAGAGGGTCAGGATGAGGCCTGGGGCTCAGCGTCTCCCCTTCCCTTCCAGATCCCTCTCTTCAGCCCCCCGACTCCGCTGTGGACATCATTGCTGGCCTGGTTCTCCTTGGAGCTGCACTCGCTGGAGTTGCACTGGTGCAGCTTTGATGTGGAGGAAGAAGCGCTCAGATAGGGAAGGAAGTGGGGGGATATAAGGGCAGGAATGGCCACAGTGCAGGTTTTCTGATCCAGCAGACCAGGTAAAGGAGGAGTCAGAGTCCTCAGTGGTTTTTGCAGGTTTTTATTGGGATTACCAGGTACACGGCAGGCAGGGGCGCTAGGGGGCCGGGAGGCTGGCAGACCTCCCAGCCCCCAGCAAGTCTTTACTCTTTCTGGGCTCTCCGGCCTTCTCTCAGCTTCTCTTTTGGCTTCTGCTGGCGTCCCCATGATGCTGCCCTTAAAAGCACAGTCTTAGCCCAGGTGAATCCCATCTACCTAGGCCCACACCCTATTCCAGGTGCCCGCCATCAGGCATGCATTCAGGACCGCAAGGATCCATCATCTATCCTAATGGCGGGAGGGCAGAAAAGCCTGACATTTTTCTTTACCCTACAGGAGTAAAGGAGGAGTCCTGGAGCCCTTGGTGGCTTTTTCAGGCTTTTAGTGAGTTTACCATGTGCAGGAAAGGCAGTGGTGCGGGGTGGTGGGGTCAGGAGGCTGATAGACACTGGCAGGCCTCCCAGACCCCAGCAAGTCTTCACTCTTTCTGCACTGTCCTGCGTTTTCTAGTAGCCTCTGCTTCTCTGCTGGTACTGCTCTCTGACTTGTTCTCCTTCTGGTGGTTCTGCTGTTCCCCTGGTGTTCCCATGATTCCGCCCTTGTAAGTGGACTCTCAGCCAGGTGTATCCCACCTATGCATGCCCACACCCTACTCCAGGTGCCCACCATCAGGCATGCATTTAATCTAATGGCGGGAAGGCGAAAAGCTTGATACAGATTTTACTTACTGTAGGGTCAGGAACAGGGCATAGAGCAGGTTTTCTGATCCAACAGTCTGGGTAAAGCAGGAGTCAGAGTCCTCAGTGGTTTTGCAGGTTTTTATTGGGATTACCAGGTACACAGCAGGCAGGGGCGCTGGGGGGCCGGTAGGCTGGCAGGCCTCCCAGACCCCAGCAGGTCTTCACTCTGGGCTCTCTGGCCTTCTCTCAGTTTCTGCTGGCATCCCTGTGACACCGCCCTTATAAACTCAGTCTTTCAGCCCAGGTGTACCCACTTCAGGTGCCCGCCATCAGGCATGCATTCAGGACCACAGGCTTCCCTCATCTATCCTAATGGCAGTAGGGCAGAAAAGCCTGATATTTTTTCCTTACCCTACACTTCCCCTACAATCATCCACACACTTGTGTTGCCAAGTCTGGAGGTGATTGCTAACCCTCTTTTGTAAAGCATTTTTGAAAATGAGTCACAGTTTCCCCCTTGATAATTCTGGTGATGGGCCCTGATTCCAGTAAATGGCAGAGGAGGGGAAGGTCCCTGCTGAGGGCAGGCCCAGGAGGCAGTTGGTCCAGTCCCCTCTCATCTCCTTTCTTCATATTTCCTGTTCCTGCCATAAGAGTCCAGTCACAGTTCTGGAAACTTCCCTGTGGTCCAGACTTGGGGATTGTTAGGGCTGCATAGCCTGACTTCTCACTGGTCTCACATGATGCTCCCTCCCACAGGAGGCCAAGGAGGAAGCTACACTCAGGCTGCAGGTCAGTGTGTGTGATGGTCAGTGTGTGTAGAGTAAATGATTGTCGGGCTTTTCTTCCCTCTTGCCAGTAGGATTGATGATGGATCCCTGCAGTCCTGAATGCATGCCTGATGGCGGCCACCTGGAGTAGGGTGTGCGATTTAGCTGGGCTGAGACAGGGCTTATAAGGGAGGCGTCCGGGAACAGAATCACCAGGAGAATGGCACAGCCCATGCTACCCATGCTGTCTGACAAGGTCCGGGCATGAGGAAAATTTCTGAAAAGTCAGAAAACTCCATAGCTGGCTCCTGCTACTTCCTTTCATTTGTTTGTGGCAGTTATTGAAACCATGTGTAGCGGCAGGAAGGACACAGTGCAGGTTTTCATTGATCCAGCAGACCGGGTAAAGGAGGAGTCAGAGTCCTCAGTGGTTTTTGTATATTTTTTATTGGGGTTCACTAGGCATACGGCAGGCAGGGGTGCTGGGGGGCCGGGAAGCTGGCAGTCCTCCCAGCCCCCTGCAAATCCTCACTCTATCTGGGCTCTCCAGCGTTCTCTGCTTCTCTCTCGGCTTCTGCTACTTCTTTTTCGGCTTCTGTTGGCTTCTACTGGCATCGCCGTGACGCCGCCCTTAAAAACCCAGCCTCAGCCCAGGTGAACCCCATCTACCTATGCCCACACCCTATTCCAGGTGCCCGCCATCAGGCATGCATTCAGGATCACAAGGATCCATCATCTATCCTGATGGAGGGAGGGCAGAAAAGCCTGACATTTTTCCTTACCCTACACCATGGAAATTTTCTATAAGCTTCAGAATAACACAATGCGTGCTGGCATCAATGCCACTTTTGGCAGTGCACACCTCAGTAGTTTGAGAAATGAGCCTTCCAACACAATTGATAGTGAAACGGTTCCCAATAATTCTCCATGTCCTCCAATTTGTAACTCAGTTACCATGAGTAACATTGAGTTCTTTAACAAGCCACCCTTGATAGAGCTGTTGGAACCAAGCCCGGCTAAAGTCCCCACTAGAGAAGGCCCTGAGGCACCCCGGGAGGCGAAATGGTCCAAGAAATATACCCCACATACTGTTCCCATAATACTGGGACCCCTTGGTTCTATATAGAAAATAGGAAGCCGCCCTTGATTTTACAATGCCTGCTTAGCCTTGTTTTAGTTACGAGCTTGACCGCATTAATCACGTTGTGTGTAGCACCTGTTTCTATTTTCTGAATAACATTCATCACCTAGGAAAATATGTAACCGAGTTAATGTAACCGAGTTAATCATAGACTGGGAAAATTAAAAAAGGACTGTGCACTGTTAATAATCACTAATAAATTCTGAACTCTGTAAAATAAAATCAATCATGATTGCATGATGTAATGATCAAATAATTTCTGATGTATAAATAAAGCTCCGCTGAGGTTATCAGTGGGAGATGTCAAGTGTCAGTGTCTCCTCACTACCTCATCTACCTCATCTCCCCCTCCCCTCATCCCTCCATTCCTCCTACACCATCTCGTCCTGCGGGGACGAGAGTCCCCTGGTCGGAGCTGGACTCCGGCACCTGCCTGCAGGGAGTGGGGCCCTGGAACTCCAGAATCAGCCCCCTGGTCCTCAGGGGACACAGGCCTTGCTCTGCCCTCCTCTTGGCTTCCTGATCCCCCAGCATTGGGGAGTTGGGGAGGATGTTGTGGCTCAGGAAATGGGGGCCTCCTCCTAACCATCTGTCCTCTCCTCCTCTCTCTCCTTCATCAGCCTGAGTGTGCGTGTTTGAGTCACACCAGCCCTGCACGGACAGGAAAGGCCCAGAACTTAGGTAACTTACTGGGCAGTTACAGCACCAGCCCCTCTGTAGTCTCACCAGGAGAGACAGAGACTCTCTGTAGGGTAAGGAAAAATGTCAGGCTTTTCTGCCCTCCCGCCATCAGGATAGTGAACCCCAATAAAAGACCTGCAAAAAACCACTGAGGACTCTAACTCCTTCTTTACCCGGTCTGCATGGGATCAGAAAAACTGCACTGTGTCCTGTCCTGCCATTATACTCTCCCAGTCCCAGCCAGAGAGACCTACCCCTCACAGTGTCCCTCATACTACCCCTTCCCTGCCCGGTCCTCTCTGGTTCCCCCAAAACTCCTTTTGGACCCCATCCCCTAGCCCCATTTTCATCCTCTGTTTCATTTCCAGGAACCTCCCCATCTTCCTAGCCATACCCTGGGGGCTCTTCTCGGCCCTCCCCTCATTCAAGGATGGAGAATTTTTCTTTAAAGATTTATTTATTTATGCACAGAGGTGTGGGGGGTGAGAAGATTCACCAGAGACAGAGTGGGGAACAGAACAGCAGATTGACTGAAACACACTGCTGAGGGGAGCAGTGGGTGAGACAGTCGAGGTCTGCTGCGCCATGTACATAGCTCCCTGGCCGGCTGGGGAATCGAACTCATGCTGCAGAAACTGTGGATATCTCCTCAGTGCTGTGCTTAACCCCATGCACCACCAGGGAGGCCCATCAAGGATAAAGAATGATTTAAATATATATATTTTTTCCTTACATTGTGGGTCATCTTTCCACAGTTATTGTTCCTATTAGGTGCAGCCCTTCCACCTTCCTTCCCATACCACCACCAGCTCCCCCATGTCTCTCCCCAGCTCCGATCACTCCCGCACCCCCTCTGCTGCAAGATGTGGATGGATGGTCGCCCTCAGGCCTTGTCTTTTTCCTGGAACCTTGTCCTTTCCTGGGCGGGGACCTGGGCTCCTGGGTAGAATTGAATGTTAATTCCCAGGAGGTGCTTTCACCCCTGGAAGCAGAAGCAGAAACAAAGTACAGAGACCCTGGAGTCCAAGGTTCCATCCAAGACTGAAGGAACATCTGTATTTGGGGAATCTGCCAATAATCTGGGAATCAGCTGTTTTGACCTGGAAACCTGTTTTTTGCCTCTTTGTCCATGGAACTAAGCAAATTTGGGGACTTCTGACCTGACACTGGACTTGGGCGCCCCCTTGTGAGCAGATCCCTGTCCTGCCGCTGGGGGCCCAGGGAGCCTGGGGAGGGCCTGGCTGAGCAGGAGAAAGGGCGGCTCTGGGCGCCTGTGCTCAGCCCTGTGGCCACACGGGGGCGCTGCCGCGCTGCTCCGGATTCTGGTGGAGCCGCCAGGACGGGGCGGGGGCTGAGGTGGGCAGAGTTGGGGGTCCTGGAGGGCGGCGTCTTGGGGTTGAGAAGCTC